ATAGGTTTAAAGTAAATATTTTCAATGAATTTACACCTGAATGAGGGAGTGGGATTTTCATGGGATGGAGATCTTGCTGTGCTGGTGCAACAAACTTGATCTATGTTTCTAAGGCTGACAATCTAGTTCAATAACGCGAAGGTCTTCATTACTATCCAACCACACTTCAATCATCAAGTCTGCTCCATCACGCACTGTTTCAGCATTGTAGTTTCTTTCCTCCTCTCCAAGCTCTGTCCTTGTTCCTTTGGGTCAGGAAATCTCTTGGCATTTGTGAGAGCTTGGAAAACTCCCTTTCTGTCCTTATATGCTAATAAAATGCTTTGAAATGCAAACTCTGGTTTGATGAAGAATACCTTGCATTTGAAAGCTTGTCTAACTTTGGACCGACCGCATGGTTGGAATAATAAGATATCACCTCCAAAAAATCCTTGTCTTGCATAATTCCTGGACCGTCCTGGCTACAACATTATTCTAACACTACCAGAAGTCTGGCTAGGGGCAGAGGTGACTTTAGCTGCTTCAAAAGGGGATAGGAAGCCACTGTTGGGGAAGGAGCTGTGACTGTCATATCTGCCTGCTAAAGTAACCATAGAAATGAGCTAAAAATGGCCTCCCACCACTTGTATCCCAACAAGAGCGTACAACAGGAGCATGCAGACATAGCAGTTACTAATCAACCGCATGTTTCCATAACTACCCAGGGGCTGGTGTAGTAGTTCAGCATTCTGCTAGACAGCATTTTGCTCTGTGTCGAGATTGCTGCGCATCACTACTCCAAACCAGAACAATTTGCTGGGATGTTCCAGTTCCACTAATAGACTTTCCAGGTCGTGTTGCTCAGTCTATATAACCTACGTTAGTTTTAGGCACCCAACCAATGGCCTTGAGTTGTGATCTTCTCACAGTGGTCCTGCTTTTTGTGCTTTATTATTCCAGTGACTGCTTTTACTTCCCAATTCTTACTAGGAAAACTCTTCAAAGAGATGAGAAATTGTTGTGCCATCTCCTATGTTTTGGTCCAGGTAAGGTGCAAGGCTTCCTATGCTATGCCGACCACCCTCATCTCCCACAAATGACACTACTGATATATGGTGTTTAGTACACCATGTCGAATCAGGTCTTTACAATGGGGTTAGGCAAGTTCTGATGTATAACTGTATGGAAGTATGTCACTGGGTTTTACCCTGGGAGAGGTGCTTGTTTTTGTTACCAACAGAGCATCAAGCAAGCACAACAGCAGTGGTTAAATAATACCATACCTTTATTTAAAACAACCTGCACAAAAACAAACCTCATCACAGTCTTTTTAAAAAAAACATTGCTAAAAGATCAAAAAGATCAAACTAGAAAGGATGTTTTATTTTCCACCAACAGTGTGCGCTGTTAGCAAAATGAAGAAGTGTAGTACCACAAAACACAGCATATGAGTGAGCTGAAATGTTAAATTCTAGCCTTTACATTTTCTACTTTCAGGTGAGGAGGGTTCATTTTTTGGAGCAAGGCTTATCATCTAGGCAAGAAATGCAGTCTCTTTCTAGCAAGTAAGGAATAGTTTTTAAAAACCTACACTGCTGCAAATCAGTCGTTCTTGAATATTTTAACTGACACAGCGGCAAAGAGCATACATAAAAAGCAAGGAAAGACGTCCATTGAATACAACACACACAATAATCTAACATGGGTTTTAAACACTGCCAGTGAGATGGGACCTCCCAATAGAAACCATGCTTTATTTGAGCGTACAAACTCTTTCTAGAAGTCCTGCGTGTGCCCTCTGACTTGCAAAGACCCACAGTATAATGCATGTTAAAATGGCATGAACCAGCCCTAAATTAACAAGGGGCAGTTTCTGAAGATTTACTGTCCTTTTTTAATTTTTTCCATGTACAACTGCCAGACTGTGGGCACTGATATCTCACAGGAATCAGAACCCAAATGCCCCACTTGACTTCCTTCTGCACTCCAGCATCTTCAACCAACATGTAAATAATGCTATTGCAACCTCATTTCCTTATTTTTCTCTCACACTGTCACAAAGCTCTGGGTTAGAGGAAGCCAAAACCCTCTGCATCAAAATGATGCTGCTGGGTAATACTGCATAAAAAGGAGGAGAAAACAGATGTAGCCTAGTAGTCCCAGAAAAGGTAAGTCATGTTGTGAAGGTAAATGTACAAGTAGACTCTTTTCCTTGTTTGCTGCTATGCCTTGAAGTATCTTACAGACCAACAGCAATCTAAATACGGCATTTCTCTAGCACTTCACCATGGATTCAAATCATTCCAGTGCTATGAGAGACCCTCAGATGCCAAGACTCCCAGATTAGTGATTTCTTGGTGGTTGGGGACAAAGTCCTGAATCCATGCTGTAAGGAATTCATCACAAACTCAAACAATGCATCTGTTTTCACAAATATAAACCTAAACCCTTGTACTAAGGAGTTCTATTGATACCTCCTCTAGAGGAACTCCTAGACTGAGACGCAGAAGTGTTATAATTCTTCTCCCAACATATTCAAAGGAAAAAAAATATAAACACCACAACTTCTATAGAAATACATTTGAGACCTATTTAGTAGTGAATTGTGAGCCTGGAATTAAATTTTTCATTAATCACTAATCCTGGAAAAGGCCTTGTGAGATTAAAATATTGAATTACTTTTGAAGCTCCAAAATAAATTATTAATGGCATTTTTTAGAAACAGAAGGTGCAGACAACTTACAATTTTTGCCTGATCTGGCCATCAAACGTGCTCTACAGTCATGACCTAACTCAAGTGCAAAGGGCCTGATCCTGTGACACTCTGAACCTTTAATACAGGAAGGGCTGCTTTTCCACCTACTCGGCAGCTGAGCCTGGGTGAGCGAGTCCAGAACAGGTGTAGGGCGTTCTGTGTTGGGCCTGCGCATGCAGATCCCCACCGTGGAGATAGGGGTACTGGAAGCAGCAGCCAGAAGGAGCTGCCGCCACCTGGGCTGCCCAGAAAGGCAGTCCAGCTGCAGAGCCAGCCCAGCTATGCTGCATGCCTAGCGGGAGGCAGGAAGTGCCAGAGCCGGGCAGTGTGGAGCAGGTGTGAGGTGTGGTGGGGAGGTGCTGTAGGGCATGAGAACTCTGGGCTGTTGCAGGGCGGAGGCAGGTGCTGACCAGCTCAGGGGGGTGCACGCAGGGGGCTCCCATGCACACCCCACCATACCCACAAAC